CGCGCACGCGCGCGTACGGCCGCACACAGCCCCTGCCCCCAGCGGCAGCGCCCCCGCCTTCCCCGGCCCGGGCGCCGCCGGGAACAAAGGGAGCGAGCGGGGCCGCCCGGAGGAAACTTCCCCGCTCCCGCGCTCCGGGCAGAGCCGGGCGCTGATTGGGCGCAGGGCGAGGGGGGGCAGGGCACCACCCCGGGCAGCCCTCCCGCACCAGGCCCTCTCACAGGAGGGGGCCCAGTGTCCGTGGGCTCCCTCCCCCGGCTCTCTGGTCGGCCTGGAGGGCACAGCCCCACTGGCACCCCTCTGTGGCCTGTGCGCTGAAGCCCCACATGGCACGCAGGCAAAGCCCAGATGGGCACACGTGGAGGGACAGGTTGAGGGGGTGACACCTGCCAGCCTCCAGCTCCCACCGCCAGGCTGGCGAGGACCACCACGCAACACGTGCGCCTGTCGCCCCATCCCAGCCACAAGCCCCTCACGAGGGCCAGGGCTTTCAAAAAGCAGCCAGGGGGGTTTGAGGGGTTCAGTTACTAGGTCCAGAAGCCCAGGAGCTCCCACCAGCAACTGGGGAGATTGAGAGAGCTCAGCCCCTCCAAAAAGAAAAATAGACTTAAGGGGTCTTGAGCTGGTCCTCCAAAAAGATGGAGCCCCCAACCCCAGCAAAAAACAAATCCCCCCAAACCAGCAGCCAGTTTTGAAAACACAGGTGGTGAATGCTGGATCTCAGTCATAGGCTCTCAAATCAGTGTGAAGCTGCCTTGTTTAAGAGCACTTCAATAACTCAGCCCTTCGTACTGAAATTGGTAAATCTTTACGGCAGGAATAGTTTCCACTCTGTGTCTCAAAAGTGCCTTGTACAATGGATCCCCCCTCCCCAAGGAACCAAAACAATAAACCTTAAGAGGTGGCTGACTGTCCCTGCTGCTAGTATATCGTGAAAAGGCAAGTAAGGGCTATTGGAAAAATGGAAGAAAACCCAAGGCACCAGGGCTCCTCTAGCACATAAAATCAGAGAGACATTTAAGCAGGTTAAAACCACTAACAGCTATTAGGAGACTTTTATTATTTAGATTTCGTGACTGTTCAGGTTCTGATCTGCTTCCAAGCCAGAGAGCCATGAACTTGCCAGGGAATCAAGTTATAATTGATGGCTCTAGTGATGCCATCCCAGATACACAGGAACCATTTCACTGAGGCTACCTTATGGGCATGCAACAGGGTAAAGCCCACACCTACACTGAGTGAATGATGAGAGGGTTCAGAGCTTAATGAGCAATTCACAGCGTGGAAGCAATTCAGCAAACTTCATTCCCCCATGCCCTCCATGGCAAAGTGTCTGGATTGTTTGTGAAAGTCTCCTCCTTTCCTCAAACCAATTAGTGAATTTCTTCCAATTAATGTAGATGACTTGAACAAGCATGTGAATGATTTTCACAATTCACACAGCACTGAAAGGTTTCACTCAAGTCATGTGGTATTATTTCTGCTGACAGACTAAATGGTACACATACTGCTAAGACAAGTCTGCAAACTGTAAATCTGACAGCAAGATACAGCCTGACGTTCACTTTTGCCCAGCATGTGAGACTCAAAATTCCCAACTGAATTTGAAAAATGGACCCAAATCCTGGACTGTGCAATGGCATCATTGTAACTAGTCAGGTAGCATGGCCCTAAAGCCGTTCAGCTGGTTACAAGTAAATCACCCCACTAGATGCTGGCATAACACTGGTATAGAAGCAGTCAATTCTTTCTGTGCCTTAGATCCCCAGAAATCCCCAGATGCTGCACTGGTTGCTCAGGCAGTCAACAGTTGGTAAACTTTTAAGATAACCCTTAATCTGTTGTCATATAGGCTACAGAACCTGACTAGTGCAAAGCCAGACTGGGGTTGGGGAAGGCAATGGTGAACTGAAACCACTGTTGCATGCACATCCACCCTTACTTCTTTGCCACAGCCAAAGGTCTGGTCAACTGCTTTCCATGGTGCACTCAGCTCTGGGCAAATCTACATCCAAATGTTTCCCTTTCTTGTGTCTGCAAGACTGAGAATTTCTGTCCTGCATCCCCATACACACAGGTTTCTCTCAGCCCTTACAAGGAAACAGACACAATACCTGGTCTGCAGAGGGTTCAGAGAAGAGGTGGGCAAAATATGGCCTGTCAGTCAGATCCAGTCCACCAAGGGATTTTATCTGGCCCATGGTGGGTCCCTTGGTCTTGCCCAGTCCAGGGATGGGGTCAAACCCAACTCACCCACTCGGCAGTGGGTGCAGGGTGGACAAGCCCAGGCCAGATAGGATCAGTTGCTCCCCCTCCCCCATCCACCACACTAGGTCAGCACCTTCCACACCCCCACACCCCCGTGCCAATCCAGGTCAGCACCCCACCCCTCCAGCCCAAAACAGCTTACCAAAACTCCCCAAGAAGTCCTCCAGCCCAAACAATTGCCCATCCCTAGTTTAGAGGTTTTAAACAAGGGAGGGAAAAGGAAGACAAATATTTGGGCTCACCGGGCTTGTTCCACCCTTGGGTCACTGTTAATATCAGAGCTGCTGCAGTGACGGGCTTGGCCCGCTGCCCTGCAAGCCAGACTCAGAAGTGGTTCCCAGCTATTGCCAACACTTTGCTAAGTCTGGGGGGCAGTATTGATGGCTGCTGAATCCAGTCCAGTGGATTCACTTCAGACAAGATGCTTCCCTAAGCAAGTCAATTACAATTTTCTCCCTCCCCTCCTGCGCCACATTAGGAATGATGTTGCTGTTCCTATTTCAACCATTTAAGCTCATGTTAATTAAGCCTGTAGTCTGGCAAATTGCCCAATACTGAACCCCAGACCAGCCAAGCTCCCATCTCATCATATCTGAGCTCTCTGACTTGAGTTGCTTGGAGGTCCAAGTGTTTTCTCATTTGCATCAGGTTTGTTCATAGATGAGCTTTGTACTTTCACTGGGACAATGCTGGGCTCTCATTATTAATCAAATCAGGCATCTTCTGACTGAATGGATAGCAGTGGGGAAAAGGGCTTCAACATTCTCCACCTGTCCTGCTGTTTCACACACACAGTATGGCTCCAGACACCTCCAGGACAAAGATAACCTGCTTTCTCCAATGAAAGTAGAGGGAATGCTTCCTTGGACCTCTTCATCCTCCCTCCTGTCCCCAGCATTGGAGAGAATGGGGGAATAGCTCCCTACACCTTCCCAGTAGGCACCAAGAACATGGGGTCTTTCATGGGATGTAGCTGATTCTGGAGTAGTCCCCCTATGCCATAGTGACCAACAGGCCTCACGTCCCTCCACAGGGTGCCAGATAGAATATTATTTTGTTCTGGTATGGAATAAAAGGGGAGAGAGGGAGGGAGGGAGGAAGGAAAGTAGAGAGAGAGAGAGACAGAGAGAGATGCTTCTCATAAGAAGTGCTGAAGATTCTGGAGCAAAATTGTCCCGGCCACCAACAAGGTGCAGAATCCATTTCCCAAGAGGATCATTACCATTCTGTGTAATTGGCTTCCAACCTGGCACACAGCTCTGCTGGTATACTGCTGGCCAATGGAAAACGTGACTAGCACACAGATGTTTAAACATCACGAAGGGCCTACACATTCAGAGCTGGTGAAATGTTTTGTGAATGAAAGAGAGGAGGAGGAAGGCAGGATGGAAAGGCAGTGGAGTGGAGCCCTCTGCATGTGGAAGGATTTGGGGATGAGAAACTGATAAGTTCCAGAACCAGGCTGGGGAGCAGGGCATCAATATATCTGCCTGTTCATGGCCTGACCTTGCTTAGACAGACATAATAATTGCACTGATACTAAAGGGTATTGACAGAAGAACCACCCGTGTGATGCTGTAGCAATACAGGTGTATCAAAACTGCTCCAATTTTAACCCTACCTCGTTCTGGGTTGAAGTCAATGTGACTTAGCTAAGATATACTGCTACAGCATCATGCATATGTAACAGTTACCCTGTTAGCCAAAGCACAATCCTGAGCAGCAGCTCCCCCTCCCCCTAAAAGTTTGCCCCCATTCTTTGGAAGGCAATATTTTAGCATAGGCCCTTATTTCATTTTTTGTTTAAATGATGTTGTACTGCTTGTGGACCTGACAGTGCACCCCTGAAGCCAGTGGAAGTTTTGTAACTGACTTCACTGGGAGCAGGATCAAACCTGCACAGGAGCACAGATGACAGTAGTAACATGCCATCATTTGGAATGTCACTGTAAAATTACCAGGATATGGGGACCTGCAAGCTTTGACATTTTCCTAATCTCTTTAGATTTCAAAAACAAAAACCACCAGGCCATTTCGAAGTCCTGATCTGCAGGCACCATAGGGATGTTTCCCCAGTTGCATGAGGCAACAGGTCTTCAGCATCTCTCCCCAGAATAGGTTTACATGCATGCTAAAAGTCTTTCTGCTGCCAGAGTGCCATCTACTGGCTGTTTTTATTACATCTTTGCAACCGAAGAGCAGTCAACAGGCCAGCCTACCTCTTCACAAAGTGACATTACTGTGTCATCCGACAGGCATCTCACATTACCAGGACATGACAGTGACAACAACAACTTCTCAGAAAAGGTAAAAGGAGTGCAAATTTAAATCCTGTTCTCCTT